GACTGTGTGCTGAAGACCTGGGGGGTACGGGGGAAGGATTGCATGGAGGGGATTGTAACCATGGCAATGAGACGATATATGATAGAATGAATGTAAAACCAATGTTTTCCCATGTAAACTATCACATAATTCACAATAAAACATTAAAAAAAAAAAAAAAGATGGATTGGCACAGTGGCAGCAACAGTGGACTCAAATATAACAACAATTGTGAGGCTGTTGCATAGGGTTGCTATCAGACAGTACCAACTCAGTGGCACTTAACAACAAGAAGCTCCCATGGACATTGATGGTTGATCCAAGTCTTTGCTTCTCGGCATCCTTCACACCAAAACTTTAGTTTAGCGGAGACCAATCTCAAGTGCACAGAGAAGACGATTGTATCTTAGTTTGCTGGTGGCTGCAGTAGCAGAAATACTGCATGTGTGGGGTTGTAAAGAAGATAAATTTATTTTCTTACAGTTTGGGAGGCTTGACGTCCACATTTGGGGTTTCAGCTGTAGAAGAAGTCTTTCTCTCTCTGTTGGCTCCCTGTCTCAGCTTCTGTAACCTCAGTTGTCATGGATTGAATTGTGTGCACCCCCACTTCCAAAATACATGCTAACTTGACTGGACCGTGAATCTCTGGTTTGGCAGTTATATAATAATGCAATGTGACTGTTATAAAATGACCTCCCATGATGTGATATAAGAGGATTCAGAATGGGATGCAAAGCAGTGATGCCTGAGATGGAGGCAGAGATGATGACGTGGAGAGATGGAGCAACTGGGGACTTCAGACCCAGAGAGGGAGAGGGGCTGTGTGCTGATGACCAGGGAGGACAGGCTTGTAGGATGTACCCTTTGGTTGGTTGATGATGCATGGAGGGGATTGTAACCATGGCAATGAAACAATATCCGATAGGATGAATGTAAAACTGATGTTCTCCCATGTAAACTAACAAATAGTTCACAATAAAATATTTTTTAAAAGCATGGGATACAACACCCTAATCCCATTACAACACTGATCCCACATAAGGCGAGTTTCCCTGGGGTGTGGCCTGCAACATCATCCATCTCACAAGAGATTAAAGGAGAGAAAATCGAGCAGAAAAAAAAAGAATGAAGAGTTAGGAGTGAGTGCATCCTTTGAACCAGGGTCCCTGGTCCCTGGTCCCTGGTCCTTCCTAAATCCAGAGAAACTGATGCCTAGACACACAGAGCTCTCTAAGGAAGCTGATGCTGAAAGGGCCTTTCCCCAGCGCTGACCCAGCGAGGATGCTCTGAATTTGGACTTCTAGCTCCCAAATTATGAGTGAATAAAATTCTGTTTGTTAAAGCCATTCACTGGTAGTATTTCTATGATTACTTCTAGAGAAGTCAGCCATGTCTAAGGGTTCGGCTGTTAACTGAAATGCGGGCAGATCCTTGAGAATGCTTGCTTCATTCTGTGTTTCATCTGCTCTCTTTATATCTCAAAAGTCACTAGCTTTAAAATGTACTTCACACTAATATTGTCTCATTAACAAAGCAAAGAAAACTCTACTCCCAAACAGGATTACATTTACAGCTGTGTTGTTAGTAGGTGCCGTCAAGTGCATTCAGACTTACAGCAATTCCACGTAACAAAGTAGAACTGTCCTGTAGAGTTTCCTACAATGTCGTCTTTATAGGAGCAGAGCTCCAGGTCTTTCTTCCGCGGCACTTCTGGTGGGTTCAAACTGCCAACCTTTTTGTTAGCAGCCAAATGCTTAAGCATGACATCACCAGGGCTCCTTACAGCCACGGGTATAGGAGTTAGATGTCAACACATACTTGGGGGCACACAGTTTAATTCACAGCACCTTCCATTCTTACTCTGGTGGCACTGTGGGTTAGGTGTTAGGCTGCTAACTGCAAGGTTGATGGTTCAAACCCACCAGCTGTTCTGAGCAAGAAAGATGAGACCGTCTGCTCCCATAAAGGTTTTCAGTCACTGAAACACTGTACCAGGTCACTATGAGTCAGAATTCATTGAACGACAGATGGCAGTGGGGTTAGATCCCTTTTTGCAAAGGCTTTGGAATCAGAGCTTGGGCTCTCCCCTCCCTACCCCACTGAGGGTAGGACAGAAGCTGGTGTTGAGTAGAAAGGGGGTTTGAGCTTAGGTGCTCGGGACATCCTGGAATGGGTGGTGGGTGTCTCCAACCCGAGACTGCCCTCTGGAATTTCAGGCATCCTCCCCTCTCTCTCCTGCCAGTGTGAAGTTCATCAACAAGATCCAGTATGTGCACAGCTTGGAGGATCTGGAGCAAGTCATCCCGCTGGAGCACGTTCAGATCCCAGACTGCATCCTGCAGTGAGTACCTGAGCTGCAGCACCCCCACCTGGACCAGCACCCCCTGGCCCAGACTGACACCCCTCCGCCGGATCCGGTGCTCCCCTGCTCAGCCCCAACACCCTCCATCCCGACCCCAACATCTCTCCCTGGTCCAGACCCAGCACCCCACTACCTGGCCCCGGCCCAGACTCAGCACACCCCTGCCCAACCCTAACACCCCCGACTTGCTCCCAGTACCAGCACCCAAAGCCCTGCCTCAACACTCTTGCCTGGCCCCAACAATCCCTAGCTTGGCTCCAGCTCCCCCAGCATCCTCCCAGCCCTACCCAACACCCCCCTGCCTGTCTCTAACACCCCCAGCCTGGCCCCAGCACCCCTGACCCCATCTCAACACCTCTTGCCCAGATGAGTACCCCTCGGCCCAGACCCAAGCACCCCCAGCCATTCTTCAATAACCCGTGGCCCAAGCCAGCAACTCCCCTTCCTGCCCCCACCTGGTCCCACTATCCCCACTCAGGCCCATCACCCCTCAATATGCCCCCATGCCCATCAGTTCTCACCTCTCAGTTTGGCCCCAGCTGTCCCCTGCTTGGATAGACCCCAGCCCAACACCCTCCCACCCCTCTATCTCTCCCGCTCCCTCACTTCCATCCCCGTGCCCACTCCCTGGGTCTGAAGCCTCCGTTGGTTCCCAGTTCCACTCAAGGAAGGGCAGGTGGAACAGAGAGAGCAAAGCCACTTGAGTCCTGAAGACACCTGGGCCAGCGTTGGCCGATGTGCCCTTCCACTGTTTCCTCTGTTGTCACTAAGCGTGACATCACAAACATGTCCCCATTTCTTCAAAGGCCTCCTCAAGCTTCATCTTCTTTTTGTTGTGGTAAAAATGTTGAAGTGGCAAAATTTTTGGTATATTTGTATATATAGACTCAACACAATTTTTTAAAACATTCTTAGCACACAAAAAAGTATATATATATATATAAACACTTAAGGCGCTCTGGTAGCGTAGTGGTTATGAATCCGGCTGTGAACCTCATGGTCAGCAGTTCGAAACTACCAGCTGTTCTGCGGGAGAAAGATGATGCTTTCTGCTCCCGTAAAGATTTACAGCCTGGGAAACCCTGTTACAGGGTCACTATGAGTCAGAACCGACTCCACGGCACATCACAACAACAACAATATAATATAGCAGCCCTGATGGCCCAATGGGTTAAGCAATGGACTACTAACTGCAAGATTGGTAGTTCAAATCCACCAGCTGCTCCTCAGAAGAATGATGAAGCAGTCTGCTCTTAGAAAACTTTACAGTCTTCAGAAACCCTAAGAAACAGTTCTACCTGTCCTATAGGGTCGCTATGAGTTAGAATAGCTCATTGGCAGTTGTTGGTGGTGATGTGCCATGGAGTCAGTTCCAACTCATAGCGCCCCTATACAGGGTTTCTGAGGCTGTGAATCTTTACGGGAGCAGAAAGCCTCATCTTTCTCCTGCGGAACAGCTGGTAGTTTCGAACTGCTGACCTTGAGGTTCGCAGCCCGATTTGT